CATGCTTTTCAGAAGTTACAGAAAAAAAAAAAAAAAGAGACATGCAAACATAACAGAAATGGCCATAGACTCAAAACTTCCTGTCAGAGTCCAACAGCCTCCAACCATCTTTTTTCAGATATTCCACACATGGAGAGTACAACATTTAGTATCAACCTACCTATTCAATGATAATTGATGTTACACAGGAGTTTTAATTTAGAACTATACAAAACATACTAAAAACAATACAAATGGAAGCAACATTTAGCAAAACACAGCAATTGCACTACACGGTTCAATACCCACATGATTCCTGTTACCAGTCCCTAACACTCCCTGCTACAAACACTGAGCTTCATAAGCACATCACTCATACCTAGCTCTACTGAGTCTTCTTCCATTACAGGGGTTTATTGGTCAGTCACAGCTGACTTCAATAAAAATGACTGAAGTGAAACAGCAGCACATGCAACTACACTCAGGTGTTTAATCAACCCTAAAAATGGCCTACTGCAAAACAGGACAGTAGAAATTCTCTAACCAAAGGTAATGGAAATGGACAATTTGCTGCCCTGTGGTTGTCTGCTCTCTGAACAACATTCAATCTGTACTAATTTAATGCAGAAACCAAATGCCTCTATTGATCTGCCCTGTCAGTTTGTGCAGTGATGAACACTGCAGCTATACATGCGTTTCCTAGGCACACTTAGACATGCAAACCTTGGATAATAACTTAGCTGGGAAGAACAATTTTGGAACCTGGGCCCTAGACTATGGGAACAGAGCCCCAGCTTTGCCAAGGTGGTCACTGTTTTGGTATATCTTTTCATTTTATTCAGGAATGTTGAGCAAAAGAATGTTGTAACTACATACATTTCTAAATAACTACAAGATTGTAGCAAACCTTTACAAAACACAGTGCCTGCCACAACCTCCTGGCTTCTCTCTCAGTACAGAAGATTACTGTGCTCATTCAGTCTTGCTCAACAACTTGAAACTACACCATCTCTTCCATGCTTACACTTTCCCCATAACACTGCACCAGAGGACATTAGAAGAGCCAGTTTCTCAGAAAAGCAACCTCTTGGATTTCTGAGTTACTTTTGAAGCAAGTTGTTTTTTACCTTCTCACCTGCCATGTAGCATCTTGTCTCCACATGATAGTACTGCCACTAGTTGCCTCTGCACTACTTGGCTATGCCCTGTCCTCTCTGACAAGGGTACAGATGGTCTGTGCAGGATTTACTTCAGACAGGTCTGTATGGTTGAAGAAGCAATCCCTGTCTCTACTGAACTGTCTACTAGTAAATTTCCTAGGCTCTGCCCTCCACGGTAAATATCACACAGATCTCTGGAATTCTTTGCTACAGGACAGGAAACAAATGGTTGCAGCACACAGTATGTGGTAGGCTTTCACTGCCGAATCATACTGAACTCAGACCCCAAATCACCAAAGTTTGCTGTAAAGGTTTGGCTCTGACCTGCTGGTGACCTTACATCAAAAATTCAACGAAAACAGGTGGAATCAAGTTTATGAAGTGATATACTCCTGAAGGTTGTGCAACTAAATGCATAAAATGAACCAGGAACAACTCCACAGGCTTGTCAAAGACTGAAATTATGAAAGTGGTTGCAGGATAGAACTGACATAGGTTGTGATGGAATAAATCTTCCTAAAGGTTAGATTGGGTATACACCACAAAATACCAGGGTACTTTCATAAAGGTACATTGCAGCAGTAATTCTGTGCACTGCACCAGCAAGCAGACATCAATTAGTAATGCAGAAATTCCTCCCAAGGATCCTGTGCATATGATGTAAAACCTAGAGCTCACTTCAGAGAACTGTTACATATTGACAGAGTGCTGAGCCTGCTGAGAAACCACTCAGAAAATCCAAATCCAAGGGACACTGGAAATCCTCATCAAAAATAACACTGGCACAAATGTCTCGTGGGGTATGAATGACAAAGCCAATTACAATGTGTACACTACAGGAAAATTTTAATTCAATTTTAATTTGTTTAAAAGTAAATAAAAGGATGAAGGTTCTTCCCCTCAAAGGGAACCTTCATATTTAATTTGATTCTACTTAAAAGCATTATGTCATTGATTAGTTCCTTGCTAGATCTAATATAGGGAGTTTACTAGATTGCGTTGTATCTGCTGATGGTGAATGAGGTGGTGAATACTTTGTAACAGAAATGTTCAGCAGCCCCACTGAGCCATGAGGGAACTGAGCCCATTCAAGTATCCATTATTTTGCCTGAAAGATAAATTTCAAGAGCTGTGTTTATTTCTTTGGTCAAAAACTTCCAAGTCTGCAAATCTGTGTATTCAAAACCGGTTTTGCTTTTGCTATCATGAATCCCTTCATTATATTCTTGCAAATACTCATTCATGCAAGGCCTTTTTGTTGTTTTTGACTGCTTCATGAATAAAGATACATATTCAAAATTTTAGTTCCAAGGACTATGCAGGAATCCACAGTTAAAACATCCATTTAGTAGATTATTTGTGATTCTAGTGCAAATATTGTAAATGCTGAAAAGACTAAAAGTGATTTAGTTGTTCACTTTGTGAAACCATAAACCTGAAATTGTGAAAAGGAAATACTTTGATATAACTAATCGTTCTGGGAACCTGTTCATAGCTGTTGCAGAGATGAAGAGCCAGCATTGCTACTTTAAATTCAATTTGGTTAAATATGTACATCCCCAAGATTTTCTCTCCCCACCATCCTTCTGACCAGCAAGGGCTGTGACAGGTTCATAGAGCACTAAACCGAATGCCAGATACGCTTACACTTTCTATCTTTGGTTTAAAGTCTATCCTAAAAGTCTTTGAGTCTTGTATGTATAACTCGAGATCCATTTACATCCTATCATTCTCTATTATTATTCCCATCAAAACATTTTCTGTTTTGGCAACCCTAACATAATATTTTATAACAGTTTGGTTTTGGACTTATTTTGTTTTCCCTCTCAAGATTGATGAGCTATTTTAGTAGCTCAGACATTTTGAAAGGCATGAATTACAGAGGCAGAAAGCTAAATTTCATTTTCCTATCTCAGAGCATACATCAATATACATTTTTGATCCTGCATTCTAACATTATCTTCCAGCACTTCTTTCCATAGTGATTTTGTTTATCAGTAAGCTTCAGGGTGGCTTGTCCAGCTACCTGACTATCAGCCACAGAGTTCATGCATTTCTGTCTCCTGGAACAGCAATCTTTGATGCTCTGCACTATTTGGCATGCTAGCAAGAAAAGTGGAGAAATAATCACTACAACTAGCACCTCCTGTACCATCTGGCCAAACAGAACTCAAATTCCACACTGCTGCCAGTGGCACGTGCCTCAGAGATTTCTGGTGAACAACATCTGAAGAGCATGTGTACTATAAGAAACTAGGAAGTCATGAGGACATAAATACTCAGTTGCTGAGGCTAATCATAACCAACAGATATGTTACATGACCAGTGAAGCTCAGGACACACAGACAACTCCCACATTGAAAGGGGAAGATGGGGTGGAAGATAGATTCAATTTAGGTACATTATGTATCACCTAATAAAAAATGGCATGGTCTCATTGTCATCTCTATGGTTTCTCTCCCTATCTGCAAAGAATTTTCTCTCATATTTTCCTGATAGTTTTTAATGAGTAAAATGGTAGTATGTATTTTATGTTCAGTTATAAAAGTAGAGCCTTGTACCTAAAATGATAACCAAACTGCAGAAAGGTATTTCTGTCAGCAAATACTTTCTTTTTTGTGTGTAAAGTAACTCCTTTAAAAATCGTAAATTTCTGACCATACATTCTTTTCCTCACTTAGCCACTGACAATTTGTTTACCCCTACTTTTGCTTGGTAGGTCTGAAGTAATCATCAAACAGTTCAAAACATGTTATCTTCCTTCTCTTCAAACATACCTACTTCTTGCTTGTTTCTTTTAAACTCCTTTGCTAAAATTGCAAGCCAGGAAAGCACATCATTAGTGGCCATACACAAAACCAGTATGTGTATGTCATTACTACTGAAGGCACCATATACAAAAGGCTTTCAAGTGCATGTAGAGCAAACAAAACAAAACAAAACAAAAAAATAATTAACGTAATTAGTGTTCCTCCCAATTCAAGGTATTTGTATAAAAATACCATTTGCATTTGTAAATTATATCCCATTCTCCACTGAAATGGAAAGTTCTAGTTAAAAGGGTTATTTTAATCAGGTGTACTGACTGAGAACAGGAATCATCATAAAAGATAACCTTCATACCAGATAAATCTGAAAAGGCAGGTAGTGTCCTCAGAGGAACTAAAGAGGTTAACCGAGGGACAGAGCTAAGCAGCTTTCAACCTCAGTTATTTTCATCTGTATACTCCTAGATCTGTGATTCTATCAAAATGGGTACATTAGTTCCATTTACTATTCATGAATTTCATAAAAAGAATAAGAATGTATGAAACAAAGTATCACTGAGAATGAACTGAAGATAATTTAATCAGTTAAAAAGCAACTAGAAAAATGGTGTTCCCTTCTATGTGGCAAACCAGAAAGATCTCACACTTAGCAGTAACATAATTTCTTTTAAAAATTACTAGCTTTTTAAGCAACCTAACATCTCACAACATCTCATTCATTATTTTCCCATTAGTCCTTTCAAATTAGAAATATCAAGAGAAATAGATATTAAAGACTGTCAGGGATATAACAAATTAACTTTGAAAGATAAAAGAATATTTTCAGAAAAAGGTTAGGAAATAGAGAAACACAATATTGCTGTTACATCTTAATGAGAAAAATACATTATATTAAAACCTTATTTTTTCATGCCTAACTTATACAGCCTTCCTAAGGTTTACTGCAAATTCTGTTTCATAAATTTAAACCTTAGCATACTCTTCCACATAAAGCAAAGACTGCTTAACCTTATGATTGTTGGTTTTTACCAGAATTATATATTCAGTTAAAGATGTAAAACACCTCAACTAAAGGCTTCTTTCTCCTTTAGCAGACACAAGGAACAATTTTTCCTGCTCCAAATTTTAACCCTATTATGGATGCTCAGGTGCTAGGAGGAGCCCTACAGGGAATTAGTAAGTATCTTCACTGATTCTAACATATTTGTTATTTCAGAATAAGGCAAATAGATAGATAGATAGATAGATAGATAGATAGATAGATAGATAGATAGATAGATAGATAGATAGATTCTTGTAATATTAAAAGCATCACCACGTATGTGTTGATTCTTAAAGGTATCACAGTAAGACTCACTGGTGATGTCCAAGTAACTTATGTATTTGCAGGAACTCAGATATGATTAAGATTAAATTAAAACATATACCAACACTTATAGTAGTTAATGCTTTCCTTGAGAAAAATAGAAGTTTATGTTATGTCACTACAGTGAAGGACTAAACCAGAAATTTTTAATTGTAACTTCAACAATTAACTATTATCAGAAACTGTTGTGCCTTTTAAATAGTAGTTACCAAGAAATAAAAAGAAATGGAGAAGACATTTTTAAAGTATTGACTACCTTTTCCTCTGGAGGAATTTTTGCTTTCAGTCTATGGATGAAAAAGAAGTGTTGTTCACTGCTATTCCTCTGCATTTTCCTTTGTTCCTTTCCTCTGATTTTTTCTGGTTTCCCGTTGAACAAAGTTGGTATTGCTGAGGATCTGAAAGATGATTTTTTTTCACTATCATGGAAAACATATTCTCAAATGAAGATTTTGCATGTGTCACATTTTTTATTTATCTCGGGATTTTCACAAAGTAGTACAGCACCAAATCTTGCATTCTGTTTGCAATTTGTTTAAAGGAAAACTGAGGGATTCAGTCTTAATGTCTAATGAAACACTGTAATGGATATTACTAAGAACAACAAGAAGTAGCTTTTTTTGCTTAAGTTCACTACAAGTGAAGTTTTACTTAAACATTTTGCTATACTTCAAATAGCACTTTTAATGCAATGTTGCTAACATGACAGTACAAAGATGATACTCGTCATTTCCTATTGTAAATACATATGCAGTAACCCTACCTTAATTTACCTAGCAAAGTACATAGAACAAAGTTCTAGTTTCAAAGAGAACTGACAAAATATGAAGTTCAGCTTACAACAGTTTAAGTGTCCATAGTCTTTACAAGCACTGACACCTTTGGCCCCAGGTTTTGCACACAACATTCATTCTTGTAAAGAGGATTAGTCACATGTTATTCCACTGATGCCAGTGGTGTTGGAAAAATGAGTAAAGTTATTTAGGCATTTAAATATCCATAACAAAATGACAAAATAATTTTCAGAATATGTTAATCATTATCTTCTTTTTCCTAAGTAGCTAATATTGATGAGTTAGGGAAGTTTAGCTCTAAACTATAGTGACCAAGCAAAAAAAGCATAGGTAACCTTCAACAAAATGCACTCATAAATTGATTTTTAAAATAAAATATTCCTTAAAACGTCATCATTTATCTTTTATAGTTCCTCTGAACATAAGTATCTTCCAGTTTTTCAACAAATGGTCTGAATTTGTCATTCCCATTAAAGAGGTCCCTAATCCTAAAATGACAATTTAATCAATATCAAGAGGGCATAAAAGTATGACTTCCAGGCTCAGCCACAAATTCTTCTCATACGCCTAGTTCTGAACAGATGAAAGCTGCTATCTGTTTTATTGATGCTTTCAAATCCATTTCACTTGAGAGAGATGGCGATGCATCTCATAATAACATACACTTCACTATTTGCTGGTATTATGCCAGCAAGTGAAAGGTACATAAGCAAAGCAAATATCATTGATTTGGTAAATACCAGTGGGATATTAATCTGTTGGTCTGTTTTTTTCAAGAAATTAGGTTAACGTTCTTGAACAAAACATGAACAATCACAAGCCTAAGTAAATAACAACATTTTGTTAATTTAGAGTCTGTGTCATGTTTCTCTTTCAGGTTGTGAAAAAGATGTGTTGATTGACATCCTGACACAGCGCTGCAATTCACAGCGGCTTATGATTGCTGAGGCATACAGAGACATGTATGGCAGGGTATGACAGGTCCACTCTGTACTTTCCTTACTTCTGTCTCCAGTGCAGTCGGTCAGTCCTTCTCTCAGGTCAGTCACTGGAGTCAAAAACCTGGTGGACAACTGGCTGGCACCAACAGACTGGCACACAGTTCCCCTCCCCTTACTATCACTCTATCACTACCTCTGAAGTTTTCAAAATGTCATTTATACAGCAGAATTTCTGCCACACTATTAGGGAAAAAAAAAAAAAAAAAAAAAAAAAAAAAAAAAAAAAGGACATGCAAAGTATAGCTCATTCTGTTCCTTTGATGACGGAGCAAGATTTTTTGGAAAGACTTAATTCTTCCTCTAGTGTGGGGGAAACATAACGTGTTGTGGGGAGAACATCTTTTCTGCAATACTTTTTCCAAGTCTTTAGAAATATAATAAAAGAGTATTCTATTTGGGTTGAAACACCAAAAAAACACCATACTATCAATTACAGGGATTCTTACTCACTCACTGATTAATGTTCTCAACTCAAGCACGGACATTCTCAGACCTTACACCATGCAACCCTACCCAAACAGTAAGCATAGTACTTGTCTGAGCCACTTAATGTTAAATCTATGATTCTTTGAAAGGTGTTTCAAAATTTTTAATGTATTTTATCTAAATTTATCATATCTAAAACAAGGTCTTTTTTAATGTTCGGACTACTGAACAGTTAAAGATTTGTGTTATTAAAACATAAAAAAAAGCCCATCACAAGAACAATGCAAGTTCTCAAATGTATAAAAAGAGATAGATACCTTGATCCCATTTCCAGATCTACTATCGGTAACTAAATGATTATCACTGACTACAGAAGATACCTTGTAAAAAACACAGAACCAGTTCCATGACTCAGACATACACAGCCTTTAAAATTTAGTGAAGACGATTAGGAAATATTGATAATGACAACTTAGAGTTGTCTTTTCTTATTTTTTATACTTAACTTTCCTTAGTTCTGATTGCAGGGGTACTTTTTAATTAGTACCCATTTGTATTATTAACCCATTTTCCCACAGGCATGTTGTCGTAAGTGAAATATCTTAATGAATTAATTTCTATTCCATGTGTGATTTAGTGGTTGTCAAATGCATCTAATGTGCATTCAGTGAAGACTCTGTGTGTTTCTTCATCATAAAACTATTTTTTAATGGGTAAGCATCCTCCTTCACTGTTACTCTAGCTACTAATTTCATAACATGCAGATATATATCAAAAACAATGTACACACCTGAAAAAGGTACCTCTCCTGTACAGTAACAGTTTATATCATAGAAACCATTTCTGATACTCCTTTAATTTCAGACTTAGGTCAGAGCCTATCTGAGAGCTGCCCAGTGGGGGGAAAAAATAAAAATAAAATAAGAAAGAGAAAAAACTGCATGAGGTTAAGCAGAAGCAGCAATTGTATAATAATCAGGCTTTTGTCATTCGCAATGTTTTGAAGGAGGCTACTGGGAAAGGGGACAGTGGGAAGGAAACTCTCATCATTAGTCAACTTACTGGCAAGTGAGTACTGAGACACAGCTGGGGGAAGAGGAGAGCTTCCTTTTTATTAATCCAGCATCTGCCAGAAGTTGTGAATTCCTTTTGAATATAATATATACATAAATTGAAGCACAGAACCTTTCAGTAAGTAATCCAAAGCAGAAGATTTTATGCACTGGGAGCAATAATTTCTTAAGTTAATTGCATAGTGAATAACCCTGAAAAAAAGTAAAAGAAACTGCCTGCGTGTTATGGGATTTGACTTCCATGGGCTTAGCTCCCACAGATTCACACAGGGACTATGCCACGGGAAGCTGCAGATGCTATGCTGCAGTACTCAGGTTTCCAAGCCATGAAATAGCAGTTGCACTTTAACCCCTGATTTTTCTTCTGTATTCTAATAAAGCAAAAATCAACAAGCCTACGTGGTCTCCCTGCTTGTGTATCTACTGCCATCTCACATGTACTAAAAGGAGTAGGAACTATTTTTAAAAATATCTTTGTTACATAATTTTCTCTAGAACTCATCTCCGACAGTTCACCTTCATTCATCTTGGACAGTTCATTCATTTACAAAGAAAAGTGCTAATAGTTTTAAGCTGTCTTTGTGAAGCGTCACTGTTGAAATAATCCTCTCTATGCATTTTTTTCTTTTCAAGGATTTGATAACAGACCTAAAAGAGAATCTCTCTCATCACTTCAAAGAAGTCATGGTTGGCCTGATGTATCCACCTGCCTCCTATGATGCCCATGAGCTCTGGCATGCCTTGAAGGTACATCTCTAATTAAGAATTACTCAGGCACATGGTCACCAATTATATTACTGAACATATGTTTAATTGATGTTTTATATATTTAAATGGTTGATAAACATCTGGAAAGGTACTTCATAGTACACTAGGATATGAGAGCTAGGGGAAGTTTATTTGTTGGTATGCTGAAAACAGCAAAAATTATATCCTAGTCATGCAACAAATACACCTGTGGTAAACTGGGTAACTAAAGATCTAGTTTTACAGGGAAATGTAAGGCCCTGATCTTGCAAGCATTCTTGTATGTTACATACAAAATTAATTTGAACAGCTGCATTAAATACTGGCTATGAAATTTTTCCGCATAGAGGTTCCTGTCTTTTATTTGAGTGGGTATTCTGGGAAAGGACAAGGTAGCAGCAACCACCAGTTTTATCCTACGTCCTGGCCCCAGTGCCATAAACTAAGGCTTTACCTCTGCAGAGATCAATACTTCCTTGGCATAGAGTGTACATAAATAAACACTTAAAATTACCCTGTGATAAGTCAATGACCACTCCACTCAAACTGAACCAATTGCACATTTTCAAGAAAAATAAATAAATAAATAAATAAATAATCATTTTCTTCCCAGGATCTGAGCCAGTTCCTGGCTTAGAAGCAGCCAGAAGCACCACACAGTACTGGTGTTCATACTCACTTCAGCTTGCCTGAGTGCTTGCTGGGCATGTATGCTCAGTCTTTGCGTCTCATTTTTTTCAGCAAATCCTGAATTCTTAGTCAAGCTCTAAAATTCTTCCCATTATGTTTCTGTCAACAATTCAGAGTAAGTAGGAGTATATTTGCAGTACAAGGTTCTACTATTAATTTAAAGTCAATTTCTATTTAAACAGGTAGAGCATGCAAAGGTGCACCATACACTGCTCCAGCAGGAACTGCTATTCTTTTATTACATCTAATATATGCCTTGCTGTCTTCTGAAAGCTGTGGTTTCTAATGAGATCTTTTCATATTTACTTCTTTCTACATAGGGAGTAGACACAGAAGAAAACTGTCTGATTGACATATTAGCCTCAAGATCAAATATGGAGATATTCCAGATGAAAGAAGCCTACTTAATGCGTAACGTATTTTACAAGTGTACAGTAGCAGCTGTAATATGTGTATTAGCCAAGATATATTAGCATGAGGGAAGGAACTGAACTACAAGAACTTCTCAATGCTAACTGGTTTCCTTCTTCCCCCTCCCTCCTCATAACTCTATTTTAAACGGTAAAGCAAAATGTTTAATATTTAAAATATGACACAGCATTTTTGAGATTTATTGCTGCCTATTGCGTTTGAAATACCTGGCAGCCACATTTGGAGATGTTCAGAAACTTTGGGCACACATTTTCAAAAGAAAAACATGAACAGTTTTTCTCAGAAAGTGCTTTCTCAGGCTGAACTCTCAATTCACCTTCTCTAGAGGGGTGTTTCCAAGTATCCTGCCATCAGACAGCAGCAGCAGTGGCAGGGCTGCCAGGTTAGTGGCTGAGGCCCCCAGGCAGGGCAGAGCCCCTCTGTGGTTAGGTCCATGCGGAATCCACAAGGGTACTTGTTCAATTATCACCTTAGAAAATGGGCATGTATTTGCAGCCCATTTATTTGTCCTGTGTTTGCTAATCTTCATTAGTAATATGCAGAGCATGTTCATTTTTGATTTAGATTACATGTTTTTGTTTTAACCTAGAATATAATAATGATCTTCAACAAGATATCGATTCTGAGACTTCAGGTCACTTCAGAGACACGCTTATGAACCTTGCTCAGGTACTGTAAAAACAAACGAGCATGGCATATTTATTAAAAATCAGAGCAACTGTTGATATGTGAATCCTTAAATACTAAAGTGACTGCAAGCTCAGGTTAGCTCAACAGGGATACACTTCTGAAAAAGAGAGGGGAAAGAGCAGATGAGGAAGAGAACTGGCATTACTTCATTTACTTCAACTTTGACTTTGGTTTTCAGATGGAGACAAAAGTCAACAGCGTATTTTATTAGTAAGTCCCTGGATATTCAGCTGCTGACCCTCTGGTCAATCTGTCTCATCTCAGAAGGAGTCTACTTTCATATACAAAAGAGATTTTCATTTTTAAAGCTGTGTTTTCTCTGTTGTCAGAATGTAAGGCTCATCATCCAGCCTAGGCATTTTGCAGAACTGGAGATATATCCACACTGGACTGTGAAAGAAAGCATTATGCAGTTCCCTGTTTTAAACATTACGTTCTTTGTACTACTGCACATGCTAAATCACAGTACGTGTGCATGCAGGCACAAGAATTCCCACTATCACACCCCGACTTTTGCGGTATTACCAGTTTGCAGTTTTAGGCTGCAAAGTTGTTGATCCTTGTGAGATCGTGATCTGTTCTCATTGAAGTCACCATGCTCAGTATCTTTAAAATGTATTGTAAACCAGAATAACAAATAATGGCAAAACGAAATGTCAGCAGATAATAGCATACATAAGGTATATCTGTATTTCTCTATGTGTTTGTTTGGGGAGAATGTTTCTTACTACGACTTGAAATGACAGTAAGCTTCACTGAGGTACAGAGATAAAAAGCTGATGTTTCAAAGGTGGAAGCTAAAAACAGGCAATATTTTCTAACATTGGAGTACTTTTTCCTCTAATAATGAAAACTCTTCCATACTTAAGAAATGAAGAGCTACAGATTAGGCAACCTCACTTCTCACCTTTACTAAAACCATGGGAAATTTTTACTTGTCAAGAGAATAAATTTAAAATAAATTATCTCAGTCTAAATTATTAGTCTTTGTTAAACCACAGATAGTCATGAAGAGGCCTGATATCAGCAACTTTGTAGATAAGATCTAACGGTTATTTGTTTCAAGATAAAGAACAGTTGCAGGAAATTAGAGCTTTACTAACCTATACTGTGTATGTTATATTTATTAATTGAATCATCCGTGTCTGGATATGGTTTTATATTAAAAGTCAGTGATATTTCACGGGAGAATATTCTTTTTCATTCTAGTTCTATCCAACTCAGAGAAGATTATTCTATAGCAACTTTTCCAATGCATTGTTTTCTTTCCAAAGCCCATTGCTTTGATTTCTGTTAAATCCTGGGACTGATGACACACACATCTAATTGCAAACAGAAGTCAATATGCTTCACACATCGAGAGCAAACTACTCAACTGCTATAGTGTCGTAATTACAGTTTTGATATCCACACTGAGGCACATCAGAATTTACAGAAATCAGCCATCAGTCAGTGTATTGCAGCAAAATCCTCCGGAAGGAAATGGTTCTGGAATATTTTAGTTCCTAAACAAATTGTATGTAACTTTATGCAGTCATTCCGGAATGATTTCCTTCAAGTAATTTATCCCGTTACTAGGAATTCCACTCTTTACTGTATGAAATTCTTACAATTTAATTAAAATACAACTTTTTTTTTTTTTTTTTTTAAACAGGAAAGAACTACAAATCAGACATTCTACAAGTTTCCAAACAATTTCCTAATCTTACTTTTAGACAATTATTATAAGCAGGCAAAAATTGCCATTATTTGATGTGTTTGCTCCTACAGTTTGTGCAGGGAGAAAAAAACTGAGAAAAGATTCTTCTGGCAATATGCCTATTGATAAGAAATAAGCAGTGAATGGAAATTTTTATACTTGTTTTCACCTCGCAGTTACATATTATTGTAAGCAACGTAACATTCATAGCATTGGCATGGTGGCAGTAAGGTAAAGTCTTACTTAAAATCAAACTAAAAATGGGATATTTATGGGGCCAGTTTATCCACTTCCATGTTTTTTTCCTCTCATAAGACTGTCATTCCAGAGTTCCTCTGCTTACAAGAAATTAAGACATAAAATGACAACTTGAAGATATTTTCTATGGTTGCGAATTCAACTCTTTAACACACTGACCCAGTGTAAAACTCTGTGTGTGGTATCTCAAGAATCACAACACAGCATCATATAGAGAAAATGTCATCTTTCTACATTTAGGATTAAACTTTTGAATAAAGTTATTTTATATTTTTTTTTTCCCAAGGGAACAAGGATGGAAGGATATGCAGATCCTTCTTCAGCTGCTCAGGATGCAATGGTAAATACAGTCACATGTGGGCTTCTCAGACATTAAAAAAAAAAAAAAAAAAAAAAAGAAAGCAAATGCAAATGTTGAAAAGTGATTAAAGTGATTTAGGACTGACTTAAAATCTTCTGTGTTTTTTTCTTTTTCTGGCATAATAGATTCTATGGGAAGCATGTCAGCGGAAAACAGGCGAACACAAAGACATGCTGCAAATGATTCTCTGCAACAAGAGTTACCAGCAGTTGTGGATGGGTAATCCAGCGGTTCAGCTGCTTGAACATACAGTGGAAAGGAAAAATCTCAGTTGCTAATAAAAGCATGGTTTACATACCAGGAAGCTCAGTGTGCAGCAGAGTGTTAGCCTGAAACCTAAGTTTGAACTTCTGGAGCTCTCAGAATCCCACTGATGTTAATGGGATTTTGGAAGTAATGCAAAGTTGAACTTTCCTGATGCCTACAGACAGCTGTAGATACAACAGCTAGATGTCAGAAGGCCTAATAAAAGAGTAAAGAATGCATGGCCAAAGAAAGATAATAGGCTAGGGCTGCACTCAGTGTGCACACAACACAACATGACGAGGCAGATTTTTTCTAATCTATTTTTCTTGTTTTTTCTAAGTAGTTCTTAGCTATGAGTGAAAACACTTTGGGAGAGCCACCTTGGGAGAGGCAGTCGGAGTATTCCCAAAAAATGTTTGTATGTCAAAACACATTGCGGTGTTGAAGCATTTCCACAGAAGTTTCGAAGAAGTTTTTGATGGGTGAATTTGCAAGGTCCACATCTGCTCTCCTAATGAATATACACAAACACGGGAACATATTGGAAAATTTTATTTAAAACTGAATAGTCAGACATAATTACAGATTGAAAAAAAAAAAAAAATTCCATTATAGAAAAGAGACATCTGTTTGGTGACAAGAGACGTCTTTTGCTCTGCAGTGGAAAAAAGTCCACTTGGTGACAAGTTTGTTGTTGTGCACCTAGCCCTATTTCTTATGTCAGCTTTCTACAGCAGCTTAGAACTACTTTGCTGTCATGGAGCAACCAAAGAATTCCTCTGTCATGACTTCTGTAAGGCTGGTGATGGTGGGATTAATGCAACATAACATTCCTGGTTATGCTCTGTGTCCAAGAGATTTGAGGATGTAGTTCTCCTTAAGTTCTGTAGTGGGCAGTGAGCTGAAAATTCTCCTGCTCTCCTAAAGCTCATGTACGTATGCCCTGTATATTTGTCTCTGTAAATCCACATGCTTGCATTATCCAAAGAGTGTACATGTCTGGATACTGACATGTTCTATATATCACATGCTTCTCATAATCTTTGAACCTTTGGCCAGTTTTAGCCAAGCTGAGCGTGGAAGATATCTTACTGACACAAAATTCTTACAAGTTTCGTAAGCACAGGTTGGTAGAGAATTTATTAAAGCTCCCTGTTGAAAAATAGGGTTTGGTGTGCAATGATATGGTTTAGTGGAGGACTTGTTAGTGTTACGTCAGAGGTTGGACTCGATGATCTTGAGGTCTCTTCCAACATAGGAATTCTGTGATTCTGTGATCCATTTTAAATCCTATCTGGAGAATCTAAGGAGAGAGTGTCCTGGAAGCCAGGTTTCAGGCTACTCATTTAGATTGCCTTACTTGGGGTATATAAACTTAATGAAGCATTGGAAAGAAATGGAGAGGAAAAATAAAGTCAAGAGTTATAATACTGGGGTGAAGGAGGAAAAAAAGGAAGTTGATCATTGATAATGAACAATAATAAAGGAAGATTCTTTTCCCCAAGTTTTTCAGGAGTTCCAAAATATCTCTGGGCAAGACTTGGTAGATGCCATTAATGAATGTTACGATGGATATTTTCAAGAATTGCTGGTTGCAATAGGTAACATAAAAATATTATTTTATAATAGCAGTGATCTCTTAATAAATATCTAATATGATATATCAGATAGAACAATACTTTTTCCGATTTTTTTCTCCACTTTACTCTCCTATGCTGTGTAATTAGAAGTTTTGGAGATAACTAGAAAAGGGTTTTTGAACAGAATTACTATTCCACGTTTGTGTAAAACTAAAAATGTGTATATGCAGCATGAGATTCTGACTGAGCAGAACTAATAGCTGTTCTTGGTTTGATAATAAATTTTGTGTGATCAATGATAGATGCATTAGCAACTGATTGCACATACTTTAAATCAGTGGTGAAATTTGTCAGGAGTTTCACTGGTATACAAACAAGCATTAAGCTTTATGTGCCTTTCTTTTCCGTTTATAGAATAAGGTTCATAATATTTCTATGCCAATATCATATGAGAGTATCCACTGGTATTTAATAGGCCTTCCTATGCAAAAGTGATGAGTACCCATGCAAAATAGGCACCAGACTTTGATTTAACCGATAAATGTGATCGTGTTTTTGAAAACTCGTAGCATAAATTCAAGCTGAGTCATGGGTAGCACTACCCAGGCCAACAGAAATGATTTTATAATAATCTTATATTTACCTGTTGTAACTTCTCTCCTAGTTCTCTGTGTTCGTGACAAGCCTTCCTACTTTGCTTACAGGCTTTACAATGCAATTCACGTAAGTAGTCCTCCAAGCATCATAAAAAGCAGCTTCCCTATTTTTTGTTCACTTGTTTACTTTAAAACAAGTACTTGCAAATCAATCTGTTCAATCTTTATGGTGTGATCATGTGTTTTGAAACTTTTGATACCTAAATAAATTTCGTAGCAGTACTGCCTACACAACAGTTAGGATTTACCAGTAACAGTAGTAGGTTAAATATTTAGATGTTTTTACAGATATGTCTGGTACATGCCTTTTTCTTTTCCTTTTTTCTTTTTTTTTTTTTTTTTAAACTAAAAGCTTTTATTTTCTCTGGACTGTATCTCCACCTGCTGTGCAGAACTGGATATGCACTTTTCATACTATGATATTTTTGGCTCTAGAGATTTAATAAGTATCACAAGTAATTAAATTACAAATTACTGTTACAAGAAAACAAATTGCCATATTTTCTTGTGGGCCTCTATGTATACATGCAGGTTCCTCTACCTTTGTGCGTAAGTACTAACACACTAAGCCAAATGAGTGCCACGGTGAAATGTAGACCAATGCAAAGAAAAACCTACAAACAATTCCTACAAGAGGTCACTGAAGATATTTCCATTTGGTCTTCATTCATTAGTGAAAATAATGAGGCAGTAATTAGTGGAAATAATTAGAAATTATATAAAAAAATAAAATATAACCTTTTAAGCATAAAATTTTAAATATGATCTTCAGAGGACGGTGATAAAAGCAGGCCATGGATAAAATGTTACGAATCGCTTTAGAATGTGGATGGCAAAGATGGGATTCAAGCCAGTACCATTGAACAAAACTATTCAGCAACACTTCAACAGGGCCCCAAGTACCCTCTTCCAGATGCTGCTGCTACTGCTGTCAGCTCTTTTAATCAGACCTGTGGCAGCGAACAACCAAGGAAAATCCTGCGGGCAGAGAGGAAGAGGCTGTATTTTGAGCGATCAAAAGAGGGTTCTGGCACATGCCAAGAAGCGTTGCCAAAAGTACCAGGAAACACCAGCTAACAGAAAAAGTAATGTTTCTCAAAGGTCCTGTATCAAGAATACTTTTCAGATTAAAATCTCATTTTAAAATTTAAAAAATATCATGCAGATAGTTTTCTTCAGTATTATATTCAGATAATGTGTGTAACGCATTCAGATAACTTCAAAAAGTTTTGAAGGACTAAGAATAAACATCTGCATCTTGTTTTAATTAGTATCTTTTCTCTGTTTTCACAAACTGTTTTAATGAACACGGATAATTCTTGGAAGAAATGCAAGAATTTCAAATTGTGTCTGTTTTTGTAATCAAGCTATGCCCAGATTACACCAAAAGCTTTTTACACACCCATTACAATACAACATAAAAAAAAAAAAAAAAACACACAGGATTCTAATGCTTGAAATCACAGTCCGTAGTGGTTTATAGGAAAGATTTTAATCTAGCCAGCAAGCGTGTATCAAATTCTCCATATGCAGCTATTTTAACATCACTTATTACTTGCCTTTTGGGGAACAAGATTTCAATACAAATAGATAGACAATAAAAGTACCCATTTGGCTCTACACAATCTAAGTTGGTAATCAGGACCCACAAATCTATTTTGATTACTTTTATTGCCACTAGATGTCTCCATTCTCCATATGATCACAATGTGAAAATTTGTTTAGAAGCAATTAAAATAAATCACTGCTGAATACAAGCTAAGTTCTAAATCAGTGGTTAAAAATCTCACTGAATTCACACTGGGGAGCAGCTGTTGTGAAACAGATTATTGGCTTTAATATAGGTTGACTGGACTCCATAATGAAGTCACAACAGCTAACTACAAAGCCCATTACCTATGACAACTGGCTAAAGTTCATGTTTTTTCTTTTTAAAAGGCTCAGTGCATGTTAAGACACACTTATATATGGGGAATCTCAGTTATTCACTAATATGAATTCTATTATTCAAGCATGTGAACTCTGCAGAACAAAACCTTTCAAAGCCTAAACTCCTTTAAAATCTAGAATATTTTTATGGGTGGTCTAAGTCATCAGTTTATGTATTAAAAAGTTATATTATCGCGTACAGACAGGCAAACACATACTGTCCAACTGCCAAGTTTCCTCACGTCTTCTTTTCTTTTCAGGAGTTTGGATTCCACAATAAAACAGTCATAAGGATTCTCATTGCCAGGAGTGAAATTGACTTGATGAATATACGCCAACGATACAAAGAAAGATATGGCAAATCACTCTTTCATGATATTAAAGTAAGTTTTTACACACTTTGCATATATTCAGCACAGGCACGTGAGCAGAGCCCCACTGGAAAAAAGTACTGAGGGCTAATCTCTATTCACTCCAATAGATTAAAAAATAAATAAATAATAATTTTTTAAAAAAGTAATGTTTAATATCCATAACATATCTTTTCAGTGCTTCAGGCTGACCTTGGTAAATAAGCAGTGGATTTTCAACTCACCCTCATCCTGTGTGATTTTGTCCCTCCCCAGTAGCAAGAGGGGGAATAAAAAGAGGGCAGAATATTCTGATGAATATCTTGCATGAAAAGTTTCTTACACTAACTGATACCATCTTCTTTTGCACTGTCCTACAAGGTTACACTAATATCAGACTGCTGTTACCCTTGTCTGGTCTTATCCTGGAAGTTCAGGTGTCAACCTTCATAAAAACTTTTCCTCTTGTATTCTTGCTCCATATCTTAAATCATACCTTTAGGACTGCTGAATTGTACAAAAATGACTCTTGCTAAGACCCTTTGCATTTTGCTTGTTGCTAATCTCCAACTGTAACATATGCAGTAGCTGTAAGAAGTTGCTTGTGATTTTTTGGTATTGAACTCAAGAAGCATTACACTGAATTGATTGGAATTTTCAAAGGTGGATTGCTTGTAGGTCCCCAAACAACCAAAGCCTGAGTTATGTGAAATTAAAAAATCTTGGCCCAGAATCCTTATAAAAACACTAATATTTTAGAAAACAGGATAACTTCACTCTAGTCTTTGTTACACACAAACAGAAGAAAAAATAAGTACAGTCACAGAATTTTTTCTCTTGCAGCATTTTGCTTCAGGTCACTATGAGAGAGCTTTACTTGCTATCTGTGCCGGTGATGCTGAAGATTATTAATGAAGAAGAAGATGGATTTTGAAGCCTGTATAAATCTATTTTAAATGGAAATTGAAGCTGTACACAACACACTGTAAGAGATACCTAATCTACATAATATAATTGAAAAATCAGTGCTATACATTTGTTAATTTTAAATCTTTCTTGAGCCGGAAAAAATATGTAAACAAACATTGTCAGAAACAGAGCTTTCCCTCTATTTCTGCCTAATATTTCTGTTAGTATAATTAAATGTAAATTAATGGAAGAACTAGTAAAAGAACTTTATGTAAGCATGTATTCATCATTTAGACGTGCAATGTCCCAAACCTTAGACAATAAATGCTGAAGAACCTATTCACTTCTATTTAGGAGAGAAAAAACATTTTACTTTATTTATTTTTAGCAGACAGATTTCCTCCTTTAAATGTTTTTTCCCCCTCTTCTTAAAGTTCAGATTTTATGCTCTGAAAGTGTAGTTTTAGTTACTTTCAAGCTAAGTATCTCTCCCAGTCTATTATCAGTCACTCACTGAAGAATACTCTTGTATTCTTTTCCATTTAGCACACCTACTTAATGCATTTCCCTTTTTCTGTTTGAAACTAAAGAAAAACAGAACCAAGTATTGATTTAGTGCCATGCTCTGAAAATCGCAGGACGAGGAAACATGGCATGGCCTTCTGCAAACTTACCCAGCCTGCCCAATGGTTCCATTTTGAAATTCCACTGTCATTTCAATCATTAACTGAATATGGATATTCTGGGTGCTGAGGTATTCCTAGGGTGTCTCTTATGGTGTAATTTGTGAGCTGGCTAATAATGGGTAACACTTCACCACCAAACGAGGTTCAAAGAGACAGTGCTCCTGAACCCCAGCAGACGTAGTTTGAGAACATTTTGTGACAACTCATACTGAAGCGAATAAAGGTGGCAGAACCCTGCCTCAAGTCATCATCCCGAAGGAGAACATAACACTTCCTGAAACATTTTGAGCCTATTCAGTCTATCAGCTGTACCCTCTAGCTTATTTGTATCTCCTGTCAGTCCTTTATGTAAGGGATTTAAAAGCAAGCATAAATGAGGTAATATTACAATAAAGTCATTGTCCTGTTTTGTTTCATTTTTTTGCCTGCATTTCGAAGTTTCCAGCTTGACATAAACCTTTGATTGAAAATAGGTAGTGACTTTCTGCCAGTCTGGCTCAGTATGACCGAATAAAACACTGCTGTTAAAGTATATAAATATGTTTGTTTTCACACTGTTTGCACCCACGTCTTTCCCATCTGAAAACAATGTATTTTTAGTGTACTTCATTTTTCACAAATACTAACCTTAGGCTACAAAACTGCCGACGTGCAATACATTTGAAATTTCACTTGGGTCCCTCTTGTGCTGACAGACCTCAGAATGTTTGAAGTAGAAAATTATTCATCCAGAGCTCTAGGTGGAAAGGACCTAGGAGGAAAGTTCACGAAGTCCTAGCACAAGGCAGAGCCATACGCTATGCCTGCACGTTATCGCTCCAAGCTCAGACTATGGTGCTGCCCTAAACTTCAATTACACTTTGATTTTGGACCTGTAGTTGCAGGTAACGGCCGTGTCTCACGGCTAGGGAGATGTAACAGGGCTTTAGCCTCGCACGCTGCAGGGAGGAGCAGCAGCACCTCACAGCTGCCCGCCCCGCCCCGCCACCTCCCCTCAGCGCCCACAGGCGGGGCTCCGCTCGGGACAGCGCCCACAAAATGGCGGCGGCGGCGCTAGGGCCCGCCAGGCGCCCCGGCTCCCTCCGCCCCGCCCACGGCTAACCCCTTGCAGCCGTTCCCGGTTCTGATTGGAAGGCAGCCTTGTCAATCTCTCTCGCCCACCAACCGTCACCGCGTCTCTCAGTGCCCCGCCCCGCCGCCGCTGCCGGGTTCCATTTTCCGGCCGGTTGGAGGCAGCGGCCGCTGCGGGGCAGCGGGGCGGGCCCGGAGCGGCGGGGGAGCCCCGATGGAGGCCAGCCTGACGTGCGCCGTGTGCCTGTCCCTCTTCGAGGAGCCGGTGACGCTGCCGCTCTGCTCGCACAACTTCTGCCGGGGCTGCGTGCTCGAGTGCCTGGCCTCGGCGCAGCACCAGCAGCGGGGGCCGGGGCCGGGCCAGGGCCAGGGCCAGGGCCAGGGCCAGGCGCGGCTCCCCCGGGGCGGGCCGGGCCCGGGCCGGGCCCGGGGCCGGGTCCGGGTCCGGGCGGGGGCCGGGTGCCGTGCCCGCTGTGCAGGAAGCTCAGCCCCCTGCCCCGCGGCGGCGCGGCCGCGCTGCCCGTCAACACCACGCTGGCGGAGGTGGTGAAGCTGTACCGCTCCGGAGCGGCCGGGGAGCCCGGGGAGCAGGGCCCGGGGCTGGGGCTGGGGCCGGGGCAGGGCCCGCTGGCGCTGAGGGGCACCTGCCAGAAGCACCCGGGCCGCCTGGTGCAGCTCTACTGCCGCATGTGCCGCCGCGCCGGCTGCGGGCAGTGCGTGTCCGAGGAGCACCAGGGCATCTTCCACTCCGTCAACCTGCTGGACACGGTGTTCCAGGAGGAGAAAGTAAGCGCTCGGCTCCGCGCGGGGCACCCCCAGCTCCCTGCTTTGGTGCTTGGGACTCGTGTGTGCGTGCTGACAGGCTGTGCCGGAAAAAAACACGCTCATGCCGAGAGCTTGTGGCATGCCTGGGTCCGGTTTTACAGGCTTCTGCGAGATGCTAGCTCTGTTCAAAGAAAACAAAACCCACACCCACAGATACTTCCTTCACAGGCTCTCTGAGCTGCCCTGCCTATTTGGGGTAATAGGTAATAATGACACACATAGAAATAGATGGTTTAGGTAACCAATAATAAAAGTAAAAACCAAAATGCGCTTCTGTTTACATGAAAGCAACTGCCTGGCCTGTTCGTTTGTAGTGGCAGCAATAGTTGTGATTTTTGCCAAGGTTCCCAGCATTATGGTTGAGTGAGCTATCCTTGCCGTATGCAGGTTGGGTAACTGAGACAGAACCTCAGGACGGTGGTGAAGAGGGCTGTCGTGGCTTAGAAAATAAACCCCACGTTATATGAGTTAATTTGAAGCCACTACTGTTGTTTTTTTATTATTATCATTTTTTTGTCTTCAACCTAATTCTTTACTGGCCAGGGCTAGAACTGGAAAAGAATAAAGTAACTTATGTTTTCAAGAAAGGTAGGAAGTTAATGCGCGTTGTTGAGGCGTTGCTTCATATATAGGTAATGAACTAATTGGAAACAATGGTGTGGAAGAGGGTGTAGAACATGTAGGACTTACTGTCCACTAACTAGAGACTTCAAGGTAGTAGTGCAGTAGGTTTTTCTGTTTGCTGTTAATAATCACTTTCTTAGAAACACTTCTTAGTTTTAAGAAGCTTATGTTTTCAGGGAGACCATGTCAGTGGAAAGGGATGGTTTGGTTGTTAGAAGCTGAAGAACAGCACTGACTGTCATTAAGCTATGAGTTGTTTTTGGCACTGATTTACTTCCTGTTCCTCTTTCCAATCACCAATTGTCTGTCATTCAGGAAACAAGAGAAAAAGAGTCTTTGCACAACAGTTTGTTGTGTAAAATTTAGTGATAATATAATGCGGTAAGGAAGGAAAAAACAGTGGTGATACTGGTTAAAACAAGAATAACTTTGTTATGGTTAGCTTTCTATTTGTTTATTAAAAACACTTTTTTTTTTGAGACATTTAAAAAGTGTATCATACACATGCTTATCAAGCAGGAACAAATGCAGCATTCAAACAAATTGTGATAGATATGTGTGTTGTTTTTTTTAAAAAAAAAAGTGTGTTTTTTTTTAAATAAAAGGAAAAAAATCTGAGGAAAACTGTGTTTTAGCTATAAAGTAACCCTATAGCCATTGTAGCATTTGTATTGTAGATGAGCCTAAAGCCATTACTATGAGAAAGAGTTATATCAAAAGCAAGTTTGTCTGCTGTTCCAGGGAAGCGTTGAATGTTATCAAATGTTTTGAATGACTGCTTTGTTGATATGTTGTACCCCATGATGTGGTTCTAGACAACCACTGAAATGTATTAACTTTATTTATGGAGTTATTCTAACCATTTCAATTGTATTTCAATTGTCTTACAGTTAACCTTCTTCAGTAGTCTGAAAAAAATGAGAATAATAAACGAGAAGCTGATGAATGAAGTCTCAAGTCATCCAAATGATACTGATGTGAGTTACACATGCTGACTTTTTAAAATTTATCTATATAGAGAGTTATAAAAAGCTTGATAACACCAACTTGGTTCTCTTCTCATAAGAGGTTAATTACAACAATAGAGTACGCTGGTACTTTGTATGGTACGGACGTGTCCTGAACTTAGTTTAAAAAAATAAAAGTCTATGTAGACACTGCTGCTTGCATCATCATCTGTTTTTGTATTCTCATGCTTCTAGATGGTGGTGAATAGTGAAGCAGACATAATTGCACTGGAATTTGGAGAAATTTTCAGAACTCTGGAAATGAAAAAGCAGCAATTGATAGAAGATCTTGAAAATCAAAGAAGTAAAAAAGAGAAGGAGTTTCAGATTTGGAAGAAGATGAAGGAAACTCACAAGAAAACCATTGAGAATTTTTTGAAGGACTGTGAAAAGCTTGTACATGAATGTGACCCTCAGCGTTTCCTAGAGGTAATGGCCCTTCTGTTACTGCTTGAGTTGTACAGTGAAGCTCTGATGTCATACAGAGCCTGATACTTCATTCAGTGTGATAATGAATGGATTGTGAAAAACAAATTCAACAAATGGAAAAATAAGACCTAAAATTACTTGTCACTTTACCCTCTTTTAAAACAGTGCTTTTCATTTTAGAGAAGCCTGACAATCTTTCTTTACGGCTTAGATATTTAATGAATTCAGTAGACACTGTTTTCTTCACATGATTAAAGCTGCTGAAATTAATATTGGCTGTTTAGCTGTTGATGTAACACTTACTGTTTTATGCTAACAGCTATGAAAGTCAGCTGCCTTGATGCTGGATAGAGAGTTATTTGTTAGTACTGCCACCAACCTTCTCTCATGTTTATATGCTTTTTTCATGTTTATTTTAAAATGTTCTGTATATTAAGCACTTTAATTGCATCTGTAAATTTGAAGATACCAAAAAAAGCTTTTTGGTGAGAGGTTAGAGCCAGATCTGGTAAGCTATCTGAGCTGCGAGGTGGAATACTATGTTGGGATACCTGAGGTAAAAGATGACTATAGATTCTAAAACCTGCTGTAGTCTTTGCATGGAGCTGTGCAGCCTATTGAAAGCTACCTCAAGTACTTCTGATACAGTCCTGACATACACTATATATTGACCAGTATATATGTTTCTATAAAAGATGCTCTAGGTCTTCCTCATAGTGTTTAAGGGAACTGGAGAGGAAAAATTGAGAGCAATGATAGAGGAGCTCAAGATACAAGCCCACATCCTCACTTTTACCTAAGGTAGCAGGAATCTTTTCATCTAGTTTTAAACTAGCTGGTTGATTTACGTCCAGTGCTGTGCTGCAACTGAATGGAATTTTTAAGAAGTACTTTGTTTAATTAAGTTTCTGCTAACAACTAGTTAAGGAAAACCTGACTTTTGGATAGAAGCCACCCCTGCTTGTGGAAGAAATATTCTGACTCCAGCAATTAGTAGGCTTTAAGCATAACACCTTTCTTACTGTCCTCTATAGCAGTACACAGCTGATTTCAGTAAGGTTGATTTGTTGTTGTTTTCAACAACATTACTGTAATGTCACCAAACATTTATATGAAAGCAGCTAGTTTATAATCCAGTCAGTTTTTTCATTACACATTCTCTGGGAACTGTCACTTGAGTCCAACTCAGTGGATTTCATATTGCTATGATATGACTGCTTTAAAACAAAAACATAAATTTCTTTAATCTTAGTGTGATAATACCTTAATAGCAGAGGATCATCTCACCGGGCAGAAAATATTCTCTTACCTGAGTATTCACAAGTATCTGAAATGGATTAGATAATCACATAGG